TGTCATGCTTTCTATGGGGCACACTCAGCATCTGTAGGTGGAGTCCCTCTCCCTCTCATGTTTCAGATCTCTCTGACTTCCTTTCTGCCACATCTCTCTGCTGTCTCCCTCTTCTGAGGTGTCTCTTGGAGAAATGTCTCTGCTTTTAAAGGAGTCATGTGAGTAGACTGGGCCATAACCTTAATTAAAACTGCAAAGTTTCTTTTGCTGTGTAAGGTATTCACAAGATCCAGAGATCAAGGTGCAGGCATCTTTGAAGGCTATTCTGCCTATCACAGGTAACTGGAAATTTGGTATTAGCAAAGCAGACAAAATCCTTGCCTTCATAGCGTTTATAGAGTTGGGGGACATTTAGATCTAAATCAAATGATTATCCAAAGAATTATATAACTATAAAATATGTTGAAATCTCTGAAGGAACACCATAGTATAAAAGGTATGGTGAAGGAAAATGCAGGTTGATCTGGTCTGTGGAGAGAAGGAATGTTTTGCCAAGGGCATGAAATTGAGTTGAGAGCTGAATGATGCATGGAAGCTACCTAGATGAAGAGGGTTAAGGAAACAGCATTTCAGAAGGAAGGAACAGCATATACGAATGTCTTGAGGTGAATGTGGTATTAAGAACTGGAAGAAGGCAGGAGTGTCTGAAGCAGAGGGGATGAGGGACATGGTGTAGGAGGGAGAAGTCGGACATGGAAAAAAACATGGGAAAAGTTTTTGTTTTTACCCTAAAGGGCAATAGGAAAACATTGAAAGGTTTTCTGCTAGGAAATGCCATGTTCAGATTTTTTTTTTTACGTGATTATTTTGACTGCAGTTTGAAGAAAGTAATGCAGATGCCAAGAGAGCTAGAGTATTACGGATACAGTTCTGTGGTCTCAGAATGAGATAGTAGGAGCTTTACATTGTGGCAAGAAAATGAAAAGAGAAAAGTGAATGGGTTTAATAGATGTTTAGAAAGTCTATTAGTCAGAATTCCTTGGTTACATGTAACTTGAACTGTCATATGGGTGAAAAGAGAGAGGTAGGGAGAGTACTATTATCTTACAGTTTCCCCAAATTCAGGGAACCCAGGGATGGCACTGACTGAAGCCAGGGACACAGTGCCCAGGGCCTTCTTGCCATCTATCTCTCAGTACAGTGGGCTCCTTGCCTGCAAAAATAATAGACTAACCAAGAGTGAGGACTGAGGCAGGGGCCGGGGGAACATCCTGCCAGCAGTCCAAGGTTCCCATCTTTACAGTCAGAGAAGAAAGAATCTTCTTTTAAATTTAACTCCATTTAAAAATATTCCCTGATCAGGTAAACTTCAATCACTTGTCCATCCCTAGAAAAAACATTATGGTTAGGGGTTAGGTCCTATTGGGAGGCACTGCTATTTTCTAGGCATATTTCTCAGCAAAGAAGGCATGCTGTTCTGATAAAACAGAACAATAAATGCAAAAAGCAAAGTTGATAATGTGTTAGCATATGTAGGACATGGTACATGATAGAGAAAGGGAGGTCCAAAATAACTCCTATGTTAATGGATGGACCATCTAGATCAGTGACAGCCAGACTATGGCAGGAAATCCTAAGTCCTGGGCTATTGCCTGTTTTTGTAAATAAAGTTTTATTGGAACACAGCCATGCCCATCTCTTTATGTACTGTCTATGGCTGCTTTCATACTTGAATGGCAAAGTTGAGTAGTTATGACAGAGACTGTGTGGTCCACAAAACTTAAAAGGCTTATTATCTGGCTCTTTACAGCAAGTTTGCCAACTCCTGATCTAGACGGATAGATGTGTCTTTCAAGAGAAGAATCAAGTTTGCGAGGAAGAACACGCATTTGGTTTTGGGCATGTTGAATTTAGGTGTTTTTGAGATATCCTAATCGGAACAACATATACACGTTTGGAGATTTGAAGTTCACTTTTGTTTCTTGTTTTTTTAAACAGTTCAAGGAAGAATTTAATAATTCCCATACTCGTTGGAATAGACTTATTGTTTTGTAGCTATGGTAACTAGTTACCATTACAACCAGTCTTAAATAGGCTTAATCAATCAATGAAAACATGCTCAGAGAACAGGTTTTTGAAAGCAGGCCAATGAGCAACAGGGCCCCTCTTTTGAAAGACAATCAGTTGGCAAGAGCTTCAGCCCAGTGAACACACTGAAAAGTCAACCAGTTTCAGCAGCCTTACCCAAGCAGCCATGCTTCTCCAGCTGATGTCAGCCCATTCACTGAACAGGATACTTCCTAAAACTCGAAGGTAAAATCAGTAGTCTGCTTTGTTTGGAGAGACTGTGTCTAAAAGGATCATAACTCTCCCTTATGAGTGAGAAATACATTCAGCTTTGTGTTGCCATTAATTAATGGTGAGTTCTTCCTTCAACTGAGCCTGAGATTTTAAAAAAGTAAATGTCTCCCATGGTAGTTGTGGCCATGGGAGAGGGAAAATACACTAAGTGAGAAGTCAAAAGTGGCTAGGATGAAGCTACACAAACTCCAACATTTCATGACTATGTAGAGAAGGAGACTACAAAGGAGAAAATGAAGGCCATGAAGGTGGGAGGATAATCAAGACAATCTGTTGCCACAGAAGCTGAGGCCAGAAACTGTTTAAAGAATTAAGAAACAGTCAAGAGGGACTTCCCTGGCAGTCCAGTGGTTAAGACTCTGTGCTTCCACTGTAGGAGGCACGGGTTCAGTCCCTGGTCAGGGAACTAGAATCCTACATGCTTCGTGGTATGGCCAAAAAAAAAGGCTGAAATAAAGAAAACTATTTGAAAAAGAAGGAAGAAAGGAAGGAAGGAGGAAGGGAGGGAAAAGAAGAGAAAGAAAGGAAGAAAGAAACAGCCAAGAGAGTAAAATGTCACTGATAATCTACCTAAGATAGGAACTGAAATTTGTCTACTGGGTTTAGTAACAGGGAGATCATTGTGACTTTGGTGAAATCTGCTTGCTTGTACCAATGAGACTGAAATTAAGGTTGGATGTTGAGATGTGAATGGAGATGAGGAAATGGGAATGAAATGTATAAACAGTTCTTTGGTAGATAGAGAAAAAATAGTTTGGTGTCATTTTGTTTTGTTTATAAAATGGGAAAGTCTTGACCATGGTGACATACTGATGTCAAAAATTCAGTAAATACATTGAAGACATAAGAAAGAAAAGACATAATCAATAATATGGTGAAACAATAAGAGGGGAAGAGACCAGGGTGGTAGTGAAGGAATTGGGTTTAGATAAGAAAATAAGAATCTATAACAAAACAAACTAAAAATGGAAGCAAAAATGGGTACAGATAAGATTAAGTTATAGAATGCATAGCATAAAGTTGCAGGAGAACCCATCTGATTATTTCTTTTGTCTCTTTGGAGGAGGAAGGCAAAGTTATTTTCTGAAATTGAAAAAGAAAATGGAAAAAGTTGGTTCGATACTGAGGAAATTTAGGACATCGATAGGAAGAAGACAGGGTAAACCAAGAATATGACATTGATAAAACCATATTTAAAGAGACAGGCAAAGAAGAGGAACCAGCAATTTGGACTAAGAATGACTGAAGAAAAAGGAAAAAGGGAAAACCAAGATGGTGGTTTAATAGAAACCAAGAGAGAGGAAAGTTTTATGAAAAGAACAGACACTAGTTGCAGACGACAAGTAAGAAAAACGGAAAACAGTACATTAGATTTAGGAACTAGGATGTCATTGGCTTTTACATGGAGACTGGGGCCAGAAATCTGACTATAATAGGTTAAAAGGTGAATTGGGAGATTTCCATTTAAACATAGTGGATTGAACATTATTTATTTTTGCTTCTTTGATAAATGAGAGTATTTACTCTCTATGTTATATTTAGTATAATGAGCGTAAAGAAGTTAAAATTTCCATACTACAAGAGTAAAGGACAGGAAAGGACACAACAGATGATAGTTGTCAACAAACTTTTAGAAGGAAAAAGTCAGCAGAGATCAGAAACGTAAATAGCAACTGTCTGTAAGTACCAAAGAGAAAAAAATTATTTCAGTGCTATGGGCTGAACGTTTGTAGCCCCATAATATGCATCTATTGAAACCCTAATGCCCCATACAATGGTATTAGGAGGAGGGGCCTTTGGGAGGTGACTAGGTCATGAGAGCAGAAACCTCAGGAATGGGATTAGTGCTCTTATAAAAGAGACCCCAGAGAACTCCCTAGTCCCTCCCACCATGTGAGTATTCAAGAAGTCTACTACCTGGAACAGGGCCCTCACCCAACCATTATGACACCATGATCTTGGACTTCCAGCCTCCAGAACTGTGAGAAGTAAATTCCTGTTGTTTATTAGCTACCCACTCTGTGGTATTTTGTTATTGCAGCTCAAATGGACTAGGACAAATAACCGTGAAAGGGTTCAGATGCCAACCGTGAAAGTTGGCATCAAAAGGTCATGACATGGGCAAAAAGCCCCATATACGTTAAACAGCTATATCATTATACTAACTGATGAGCTCTCTGGGTCCCTTGACCATTTATGGGCCCTAGAATGCTAGGGCTTAGACATACACAAAATTTAGAGTTTGAAGGATTCTGTTCCATAAAATGTCAGATACACTAACATCTGATCTTCCTCATCACCCCAAGTGGGCAGGCTCCAGCCCAATCACTGACCAGTTGACACAAGTCTGTCCATGCCACAAAATTTCCAAGGAGCTGATGGGTGACTCTTTCTTAAATGCAAATGAATAAGAAAAGACCACCAGTCATGTGAGGAAAGCCCCTAACACAGCAGAGAGAGACCGACACCACGAGGAAAGGTCAAACAAACAACACCACCACTAGAATTAATAGTTTCAGAGAGATAAAAAAAAATATGTAGTAAGGGCTTCACTGGTGGCGCAGTGGTTGAGAGACCGCTTGCCGATTCAGGGGTCGCGGGTTCGTGCCCTGGTCCGGGAGGATCCCACATGCCGCGGAGCGGCTGGGCCCGTGAGCCATGGCCGCTGAGCCTGCGCGTCCGGAGCCTGTGCTCCGCGGCGGGAGGGGCCACAAGAGTGAGAGGCCCGCGTACCGCAAAAAAAAAAAAAATGTAGTTAGACATAGATATAGATTATTTCCAAGAAATAACAGGGACATGAAGGGTGGCTTAATGCGAGCATAGTTTTAGAGAAAAAGATAAAAATGTTTGAGAATGGGAAAACAAGGGTGGGGGGTTGAGCAGCATTCAAGAGAATAGTAATTTCATCATTATCTATGGACACTATTCAACTTTTAAGTTTTTGCGCACATGTTTGATAAGAATAGTAAACAGTAAAAATAAGCAAATTCGGCATAGGACATGTGGACAAAGAATATAAATAATCTTTTTTAAAATTCTTTAAAGAGAAGGAAAGATAGCACAACAGTAGTAAGAAAAGTGTAGGATCATGGAAAGTTTTCTATTTTATTATCTTAAGTAGGACATATTTGAGTATATTTGTAGGTTGGAAAGAAGAGTGAGAAGGAGAGAGAGGATCAAAACACAGATAACAGAGAAAATTAAGGGAGGCGATGCAGGGAGGTAACAGGGTCCACAGTGCAGGTTAAAGACTGATTTCAGGGACAAGTTCTTCTCTTCTCTGAACTGCAAGAGTGGAACACTGATGGAGTTATGCCTGGTGGCTCTCATTTTCTCAGAAAAGGAGAACCAAGGTCACCATCATTGATGCCAATGAAGGATAAGTGGGTAGGTGAGGATGAGAAGAGTGCTAGTGATTTGGCATATCCTTGTGGGTAATCGAGGAAGCAAGCAAGCCAGAATTGTGTAAAAGAACTTTCAAACTAGTACCTACTGTATAGCAAAGGAAACTCTACTCAATACTCTGTAATGACCTACATGGGAAAACAATCTAAAAAAGAGTAGATATATGTATCTGTGTAACTGATTCACTTTGCTGTACAGCAGAAACTAACACAACATTGTAAATCAATTATATTCCAATAAGAATTAATTAAAAAGAAAAGAACTTTCAAACCAAATGGAGGCTCATTAGAGATTGGAGACCATGAGCTGTAGTAACAGAGCTCTATACAGCTGAATGACTGGGGGTGAGGGTGGCATTTATCAGCTAATTTCTAGGAAGGGTAAATGAATGGCTGGATTGACACTGATTTGCAAGGCCATGAGAATGCTGAGAAGACCAAAAAGTATAATGAAACGTTAAGTATTTCATCGTGGAGAGGTTGGGCTACAGAAGGAAGGAAGTAGTGGACTGAACGAAATAAAAGGAGTTGATAATTAGAAGTCTTAGACAACCTGCATATAGGGAACAGGGGAAGGAGAAAAATGTAGGGATAATTATGGTCAGAAGTAGGAATATTGGAGTTTAAGATTTCCCAACTTGTGCCAATGTCCTGAGTGTGATCCTGTAGATAGTGACTCAGGGGGTGGGACAGACATTGTTGGGGTGTAAGAAGGCAAGAATCTCTCCACGTGGAGAATGAAGACAACCAGGATGGTGGCTGATGACAGAGGAGTAGAAAGAAGAGAGTATACCGGTACCAAAGCTTGAGGAATGATAAGGTGGTGTGGTTACATGGGGGCACCACCGAGGAAGGAGGCTGCCGAGAGGTAGAAGTATATGGATCTATAGGTAATAAAAGGCACCAATGTCCTTCCAAACAGTTCTAAATCTTTCCCTGTCTCTTTACTCCAATGAATGTGGTTACCTGGTCATACCAGCCAAAGAATCCAGTGTCAGTAAAAAAGCAAGTTGGATTAGATTAAGAATTGCTGCAAAAGGAAAAACTATCATGAGAAAAACGCTGGAGGTGGTGCAACAGAAGGGAATCCAAGTCAGCCATAAACAGGTACCTGCCCAAATGCTTAGGGCCAAGACAAAATCAGGATGGGCCCAACAGAAGGCAATCAGGATACCAGGGCCAAGTCAAAGAGAACAGCTCCTTTAAATTCCAATTTTTATATACCTGTATATTTGAGACATATGAAAGCTCCCTATTAAATTGTCAGCATACAGTGATATTAAGGGCATGATAAATAGAAGGATGTAGAGAGATAAGAGTGGACAGTCAGGAGCTGATTCTGGACAGCGTGGAGAGGACCAATACAAACCTGCTCCAGAATGACTAGCCCACGGATGTTGGTGAGAAGACCATTTGGGGTGTAGGACACTGGCCGTTGAGGTCTCTGTTTTGCATTTGCCCATGAGCACAGCATGGAAGCCTTTGCTATAGGTGGTAAGGTGATTCTCAGAATGTGTTCCCTGCCTTCTCCTCTTCTCTAATATCAAATGTGGAATGTTTTCCAGCCCCTGTGGTGTGTCACACCAGGGCACCATGATGACTCCTCTTGTTTATTACTTCCCTCTTCTGTCTTCCTGCTCCTTGTTTCTACTTTTATAATGGCAGGCTCTTTCTTGGCAATTTTTATCTCTGAGCTTAGAGCCCCTCCCCATTTCCTCTGCCTTTTTACTCCCCATATGTGCTTTGATTTATTAACAAACCTACAGGGAGCCTTGGAATGAAGAGAACTAAAAAATGATTGCTGCATTCCTCCAATCTTCCTGAGCCCACAGGCTCGAGGCATCAACCGCCTAAGTATTCACAGAAAGTTATTTTAGGGAATGAATCTGGGGCCATTGTAAAATTCCAATGGCTTTAGTTTCCTCACAATTTTCTGATATTTAAGCTTTTTAGACAGGATTGTCTGAAGCTATGTAGTTTAAGGGTCTCTAAGTTATAATTATAATCATGGATCTACCTCTAATGCCCTGTATTAGAGCAAGACTCCATACCTCTCTGTTGTATAAAATAGGGAGCACAAAAATAACCTTCCTTTAAGAGCTGTGGTCAATAAAAATTAATAAATACTGCCATGAAACAGCCAGGATTTGGATGCAGGAATGGGGTGCTTGAGAAACACTAAATAAAATGATGTAGTGAACAATGTAAGAATTGAGAACTCAGGGTACTCTGCCAGCTGAAAATATTAATGTCAAACATGAATAAAGTCAGGCTTCTCAGAGGCAAAATTCTGCTTTAGGAACACAGTACCACTACCCGCCTCCACTTTTCCTCCATTTGGGATCTTGTTCCTGACCTCCAGGGCAGCAACGCCCTTTTAATTCCTGTTAATTGCCTGGACCTCTCCATCTCTGTATTACCCACTCTGGCAACCATCTGCACAGTGTTCTACCACTTTCCCCTACTTCCTTCTCTCCAAATTTGATCTGGCCTATGCGCAAACCTCCAGGACTTAGTTATCTGCTGGATGACAGTTGATAGCAAGGGGATGACTAAGGGCTATCTTCCTAGCAAAGTGTTTGATTGGGTCTAAGTAGCAATGCCTCCATCAGTACAAATGCGTAGACTTTCATAAACTGCCCTTAATGTGTTCACTAACCCTGGAATTTCAAGCCATGTATCTCACTGTGTGGAGGAGAGATTTTAGATTATTTGGGGTTTTCAGCATATTTCAGTTGGCATTATGAAAGCAGTTGCCAATTCTATCTACAACCTTGAAGGAGGGCCATCTATTAATAAGAGAAATCAATATCTCAGGGCAAAGTTTCTACCTCACTTCAAGAGGTAGAAACTACCGATTACTAAGACAACTTCATCTTCCATATCCAACCAAGCAAGAGGAACCTCTTTGATCCTGACCCAACTCCTTAACATTTTAGGTAATGCAGATAAAGTTGACTTCCAATAACCCCCAGGTGGATTATCTGCAAATATGGTTTTTACCTTCTTATGTTGACATTGTCATTTATTTTGTCTATTTAAGCCCTCTAAAAGCATTACTGTTGCTTCTGTTTACTCTTATCCCCTGCATGCAATAACGATAATTCCTAACATTTGTTTGGCATTTCATGGTTTTGAAGCATTTTCACATGCATTATCTTATTTGATGTAGTTTCTAACTAATCCAAAGTTGGAAGGAAAGTCTCCGAAATAACATTTTGTCATTAATTTTTTTCCTTGGGAAGATATATGCTAACATGTTGCAAGTCAATTAAAAAACAAAACATAACATGTATGAGATAGTGCTGATCTTTTGCACAAGTCTGAGTAGGTTGCACTGAGTATGCCAGTGACCATCCCAACAAATGGGGAAGGGGGAGGAAGTAAGCAGATAGATGATCAGAAATCTCCATTCCTTGTCACACTGTCTTATTGTTGGGCTCAAAGGCAAGATCAAAGTCACACTGGAAAGTGGATTTAGGCCCTTGTATTTATGGTCAATTGACTTTCAACAAAAGTAACCAAGCACGTCAATGAGGACAGGATAGTCTTTTCAACAAATGGTACTGGGACAAATGGATATCCACATGCCAAAAGATGAACTTAGACCCTTACCTCACACCACACACAAAAATTATCTCAAAATGGATCAGAGACCTGACTGTATGAGCTAAAACTGTAAAACTTTTAGAAGAAAACATAGGATATCATATTCAAGACTTTGGGTTAGATACAGCTTTCTTAGATATGACAATAAAAGCAGGATACATAAAAGAAAAAAGCAATAAATGGGACGTCACAAAATTCAAAACTCTTGTACATCAAGATATCGTTGAGAAAATAAAAAGATAACCCATAAACTGAAAGAAAATATCTACAAATCATATCTGATTAAAAAAATTTATATTAAGACTATCCAATGAGCTCTTACAGATCCATATACAGATCTTCCTTGATTTACGATGGGTTTACATCCCAATAAGCCCATCGTAAGTTGAAAATATCGTAAGTCAAAAATGCATGTAATACACCTAACCTACTGGACATCACAGCTTAGCCCAGCCTACCTTAAATGTGCTCAGGACACTTACATTGCCTACAGTTGGGCAAAATCATCTAACACAAACTCTATTTTATAATAAAGTGTTGAATATCTCATGCAAGTTATTGAATACTGCGCTGAAAGTGAAGAAGAGAATGGTGGTGTGGGTACAGAATGGCTGTAAGTGTACTGGTTGTTCACCCTCACGATCGTGCAGGTGACTGGGAGCTGTGGCATCAGGAGAGCGTGTGGTACTGCCTATCACTAACCTTGGAAAAGATCAAAATTCAAAGTACAGTTTCTATTGAATGCGCACTGTTTTTGCAGCATAGTAAAGTCAAAAAATTGTTAAGTCTAACCGCGGTGAGCTGGGGACTGTCTGTATAAGACAAACAACTCATCATAAAATAGGCAAAAGATTTGAGTGGACATTTCACCAGAGAAGATATACAAATAGCTAATAGTACATGAAAAGATGGCCGACACCATTAGTCATTAGAGAAATGCAACCATAATGAGGTACCATTTCACATCCACTAGAATGGCTATGATTTCTTAGAAAAGAAATAATAACAAATATTGTTGAAGATATAGAGAAAAAGAAGCCTTAAATGTTACTGATGGGGTAAAACAAAATGGAATAGCCACTTTGGAAAACACTTTGGCTGGGTCTTAAAAGTGAAACTTTAATTTACTACATGGCCCAGCAATTCCATCCCAGGGTATCCACCCAAGAGAATTACAAGCATATAACCACACAAAAACTTATACTCCAATGTTCATAATAGGATTATCATAATGGACAAAGTGGAATCAACCTCTTTTCCACCAACTGGTGAATGGATTAAACAGACTGTGGGATACAGATGACCCTTGAACAACACAGCTCTTATACACAAAAATTTTTCAATAAATTTAGTACTGTGTTTATGGTCCGAGATTGGTTGAATCTGTGGATGCAGAGCCCGCAGATGAAGAGGGACAACTATGGGACTTGAGCATCCACGGATTTTGGTATCCATGGTGGGTCCTGAAACCAATCCCTCACAGAAACCAAGGGACAACTGTGTCCATACAACAGAATACTATTCAGCAATAAAAATGAATATAGTTCTGATAAATTCTACAACATAAACTTCAAAAATATTATACTAAGTAAAAGACAACCGATGCAAAAGACCAAATACTGTGATTTTATTCATATGAAATGTTGAGAACAGGCAAATCTATAGAAACAGAAAGTATATTAGTAATGCCTAGGTCTAAGGCAGAAGGAGCGATTTAGGAATGGGATGCGGGTTAACTGTAAAAGGATATGAGATAATCTTATTGAGGTGATAAAAATGTTCTAAAAGTGGATTACGATGATCGTTACAAAGCTCAGTAAATTTACTAAAAATCATAATATAGGTAAATTTATGTTGCAAATTATATCTCAATAAATTTGTTTAAAATTCATTTAGGAGTTATAGTCAAATCTCCATTTCCCATCTTGATTTAAGAGAACTGTAAGCAAAATCCCAAACTCTAGATTATCCAAGGAGATTTGTCATTGCATTTTGCTTTAAAGCAAGCTTTCTGATTTATAATTGAATTTGAATTTGCTCTAGATTTAGTTAATTCACTTCCAACAAATTTATGATGGAAAGAAAACCTCATTCAAGAGGAACTTGGAATTAACCCTGTTTCATCTTTCTCTGTCTTTCCTACTCAATTGTTTTCTGCTCCCAACTGCAGGCAGACTTTGTTTTATTGCATTCTGCTTTATTGCACTTCGCAGACACTGTGTTTTTTACAAAATGAAAACTTGTGGTAACCCTCCGTCAAGCAAGTCTATCAGTGCCATTTTTCCAACAGCATTTGTTCACTTTGTGTCTCTGTGTCACATTTTGGTAATTCTAAGAATATTTCAAGCTTTTTTATTATTATTACATTTGTTACAGTGATCTGTGATCAGTGATCTTTGATGTTACTATTATAATTACTTTGGTGTGCCACAACTGTGCCCACATAAGACAGCAAGTATAGGTGATAAATGTGTGTCCTCTGACTGCTCCGCTGAACA